GAACTTTCATGTGTGCACACTAAAGCCAAAGGGCCCCATAGTAAACTTACCGAACTTCGGCTACGTCAGGTTGCGAATGCTTGTGCCTTAATTTCCATTACCGAAACATGGTTGCATCAAGAAGTGGCTAATGCTGAGGTTGATGTAGCAAGAATGACACTCACCCGAAACGAACACTCCAGCAGTGGAGGTTGGGTCCTTCTATACGACCGCAGCGACCTGCAATAGTTGATGATCTGGAAACTAATGTTACCGACTGGCTCTGGTGCTGTCTCCGACTAGGACACAACGACGCATATCTCATAGCTTTCGTTTACCGCCTCCCAACATCCAATCCGGAAATGGATTCCCGCTTGATATATGCCTAAACAGGGTAACACGCACTAGGTACAGTCACATTCTCATCTCCGGGGACTTCAATCTACACGAACTGGAGGTATCAGTATCATCCAATGAACAGTTCAAAACAGAGATACATGCACAGATCGCTAGTATTCCCTTGTAATCATGACACCACGTTCACTGGATTCAGGACAGCAAACAAACCGCCCATTTTGGAACTTGTGCTCATGGATGAAGAGCTCATGGTTGAAAAATTATTGATGGATAGTCTATTAGGTGTCAGTGGCCATGTAGAAATAATGTTCAACTATAGGTGTTGTGAAGAGTATCCATCTGAACACTCGGAACTAACCCATACAATCACACGATATCAAGTCTCGAAAGAACTTGTCGACGCATCTGCTTAAGAATTCTCAAACCAGTCGCCTTGACAACGTCTGGACAGAGTTCGTTGAAGACTCAGTGACATCGTCAACAGTTCATTAGAGACCAAGCCCCTTCGTCCCGCGAAAATGCCTTCAATTCTAAGGAGCAGGACACGAAAATGCATGGCGGGAAGAGATGCAGTATGGCGTGCGTACAGTGTTAACCCTGACTCAAAGACAAGGTAATTTCCTGACCCATCGCAACCATTGCACTGTACTTTTCCGTGAGGACAAAATAACTTATCAACAGTGCCTAACCAAAAATGTATGGCAAACAATAAACTGCTGAATAGGAACGTCAAATCTTCGTAAAGTAAAGCATGACATCCCACTACTTTCTACAACAGGCGGTAGAGCACAAAGCACTGAAGAAGCGGATAATGCCCTGAGTCTACTATACATCCCAATTTTCGAATTCGCGGCCCCTACCTGTCCCATAACGTCGAGCACATTACCGACTCCATGGTTTACACATATGACTTACAACCCAGCAATTGTGCTAAGGAAGTTACTCTCATTGCGCGATCATAGCTCTTCGGCAGCAGACAACATCCGTCCAAAAGCAGTGAGGGCTGCGGCCAACAGGCTAACTGAACCACTGTCAAAATTCTTCCAAAGGTGGTTTGATGAACAACAAGTCCCCAATATGTGGAGGCGTGGCATTTGCACCCCAATTTTTAAAGGTGGTAGTCGTTCAGATCCTGTAAACTATCGCCAAGTGAATCTCCTCCCTGTGCTCGCGAAGGTGATGGAGGCGGTCGTCGCCGAGGCTCTAAGGTACTAGCTAGAAAAATGCAACATCTTGGCACCAGAGCAGCATGGATGCCATAAACATCGGTCAGGCACCACCAACCTGCTAATGGCACGAGGTAGTTGGACATAAGCGGCTGATAAGGGGATCGCAGTTGACGTCATCTATCGACCGCTTGGATCACGGCATCCTATTTCACAAGTTACAGAGCTACGGAATAAGAGATCCTATTCTTGGCTGGATTGGCAACTTTCTTCACCAACGAAAGATTCAAGTGGGTGTTAGAGGATCACTCTCTAACCCGATTGAGGTGGAACGTGGTGTTCCACTTGGCTCGGTGCTGGGACCGCGCCTGTTCCTAGTGTTTATCAACGACCTGGCAAGTGTTATCTCCTGAAATTTCCTCCTTTCCCCGATGTCAAGATATGGAGGGCGATTAATAACAATGAAGAGCACGATCTACTCCAACATGACCTAGATTGCATTTATGGTCAAGGAGGAGCCTACTTCGGTTGAACATAGCTAAGTGCAAGGTGATCCATCTGCGTCACCAGCTGATGAGCGTCCACAAGCTTGGAGACCACACCTTGCAGAAGGCCTCTCAGGAGCGTGACCTGGGTGTACTGGTACAGGAAGAACTTCGATGCTCAAAACAAGCACAGAAGGCGTCGAGAACCGGCAATCAACACTTCGGTCTCCTTCGCAGAGCGTTCGGTCGGTTTGAACCCTCAGTCTTTCTACAAATGCTTAGTGCCTACGTTCGACCGCACATAGAATATGCTATTCAGGCGTAGTATCCGTGGCAGAAACAGGATCTCTATGCTCTGGAGACTCCTCAAAGAAGGGCAATCAAGATGGTCAGGGACCTCTTTCATCTGCCCTATCAGCTTAGACTGCAATCTCTAAGAATGCACAGCAGTCGATATTGGCCTTTGCGGGAGATTTCATAGTGGTTTACCAGATTCTGAAGAACCCAAACCACATTTGCCGTCCGCTGCTGGAATTGAACACCAACACTAACCCAAGAGGTAATCCTCGGTAATTGACAATACAGTATAGCCGGCTTGAATGCCATAGAAATTTCTTCTCCATCCGCATGTCAGGCTTGGAACGTTCTCCCAAATTATATCTTCGCTGCCCCCAATCTAATGATATTTAAAAACGACTTGACGATGCGTTGTCTCATTTGCATTTCATCTTATAACTTGTTAGCCAGGTGGCTATAAAATACAATCGGCGTCTTACCAAACTCTCAACCAATGGATTTATATCTTAATACGCGAACATACCCGTTATTTTTTGAGTCTATGGTGAGTCCATCAAAGAGCTTTTCACTTTATGAAATTTTATTTTCGCAATATTTTCCATCCCATGTGACTTGTTAACCATTGTTTTTTTACTCGTAATATACCATTGAGCCCTACGTTAACTCACTGAGTCCTGAATTAATTTACTTATACCTCGACATGAACCCCAAAAGTTTTTTCCACACATTGTAGAGTAAGGTATCGGAGTGCTGGCCCTTACTTAATTGTTGACAAAAGGCTAGATTGTACGTATCCTTGCGAATACCGGCAGGAATGACGATTGCTCTGAAGCTGTATTATAAGTTAAAAAGTGGTACTTATACGTACCGCCAGGACACAAAGGGTTAAGTGATAGCAAAAAGGTAGATGTCTATCCTTGACAACTGAATGCAAAAAATTACCGTCAGATTATCGGGTTTATCACCACACAAAAAATTGATATAGATTTGGGGATTAGCCTGGTTTCAACTGCTACGCGGGAGATTGCTCCTCAAAGATGTTAGCTTCCATGTATCGTTGACATGCCGCTTCTGCACCAGAGGTCCGAGCTCTCGCTCCTACATGGGACTGAACATCACACTGTAGTTCCATCTCCCGTGTCGCCGTCTGCATGCTAGCGAAATAGCAGCATAATCTAACGGTGCGTCGTTGATGCACTCCACAAAATACATGGATAAGTTTTAAAAGACCATGTAAGAGTTAATCACAAAGTACACATAAGTGGTCTACACGCCTGGCTTGCAATCACCGGTTCGAATTCGCGTAGGGGCCGGTGTCCTTGCGGTATACTCAGCTCACACGCAAATGGTGGTGGTAGCGCGGCAGCGAAGCGCCGTCAAGGCGTACAACTGACAGATCAGTATTATTATTACATACAGTTAAGCGGTACAGAGGATTGGATAACTGTTAATGAAATTATCACAAATATATCTGAATAAAGAACTTTTCATACGACTACCCTTCAAGGGAGACGCCGCTGCTGAGCGTGTAACTAGAAGCCTTTCAACAGCTGTCAAGTCAACTTTTCAAGCAGCCAAGCTTAAGTGTACCTTTTCCACGGAGCCACTCACCCGTATTTACAACAAAGACAAGTTATCGACGCTGACCGCTTCTATGGTAATTTATCAGTTCAAGTGCGCTTGTGGCGCTACTTACATCGGTCGAACGGCGCGGCAACTGTCGAAACGCATTAAGGAGCACCTACCACGTTGGTTGCGTCGAGGCGGTACTGGAGCTATAACTAGCTCAGTTATGGCATATCTGGTTGATAGTGGGCATGAGGTTGACCCCGTCAGTGCCTTTCGAATACTGTACAGGGTCCCTCCACTCCAGTCGAAAGGCCTGCGCTTCCGGACCCTTGCTACTGCCGAGACGATCAGCATTCGGTTGTACCAACCGCTTTTGTGTGCACAAAAGAAGCTGATCGAAGCTGTTCAGTTACCTTGGCCAGCCAAAACGGATCCTTCGGACAGCAACTGCAATTGTGCAACTGTACCTCAGCCCTAGTTTGCTGCTTGTTACTGGTTCATGCCTTTGGTCGACACGTGATCAATCTCATTTGAACTGATCGTTAATCCACTTGTACTTCCCATTGCGATTTCACCCATATGATTGTACAGGTCTGAAGATGAATCATCGAAAACAATTGTTTACCTTCGGTCTTTCGTTCTTGATATATGAAATAGTAGCCAGTATAATCTAGAGAAGTATTGGACGACAACTACCGACCTATGGCGGCGGCTCAGCTCAGCGAATGACTCGTAACAGTGGGATCCATCGGAACAAGACGTGTCCAGAGACAAGCTGTTGGTTAACGTTTGATATTACCGGCTGTGCGTAGAATAATGTAAAATCTTAGGGAAATGAAAAAAAACCGGTTTGACAGATTGTGGACATTGGTGGATACTTGAACTGGATGAGTATACACAAAATACATACGCTACTTAGCAGCCGAACTTAGAAGGAACAGTAGTCATCAACAGAGGAATGTCAAGCTGCATTGTGTAATACGTCGATTGAACGCCAGTATTCGGATAGGTGAGTCGTGGTCCCAATGTTCTTACCAAACCACATGCGGCTCGGTGCGTAGAACGCGACCGATTAAAATTCCCTCAAGTGTCGGAAACAGCCAACTTGTTCTCCCAGTAAATTACTGTGTGCATCAGAGCAAACAGGGAAAGGCGGTGTAAAAATGCATTTGGTTAAAGGTGTAAAAAGCTCAGAGAAAGAGAAAAATACGCATACAAATTACACCTGCGGAATAAGCATAGACAAATATCCCCGGTACAAAAATAGGGAAGCTCAGTAAATAGTGGTCGCTTTTGAGATTCTGATGCCGTTCGCGCCGGAACCCGAGTCAGTCGAAGTTGTGTCGGCCAAAATCAACTTCTGTAATGGGACCGTGAGGCTAGAACCGACGTCTTCCTTTGGCTTTGTGTCGGGGGATCTGTTCGGCAAGCTCTTGGAGGCAATAGGAGAGTTGTCTGAAAGTGAGGTACACATGTAATCGGCAAATAATGTGCAGAAAGACAGGAAGAGTCGACAAAGGGGATGCATACGGTAAAGAAGTAGGGCGCATCTGGACTTTCGAGTGAGCAGAAGCATGGGATTCAACTGAACATAGAAATGCAAACAAACGTTCGAAACAAGATATACATACAGGGATGGTGTATGCGTAACACATGATGTCTATGGTTGGCGGCATCCGGTTTCGGATTTGCCTGCCACTGTGGCCAGCCACAGGACGCCTGCGCCTACAGAGGGACCATGGGTGGCTTGCGCTGCACCACACACAGCTCCAAACCATGCACTCCATATCCAGTGTAAACCCGAAGGAATAAGACCGGGAGGCATGTGGATGGGAGCCACGTTTCATCAATAGAGCCGGCCCATACCTTCACAGACAAAACACAAGCACACTGTATTTGGGGAATCAAACGCACACAAGGCGGTGGCCGGACCGTAGTCCGCTCCACACTGACTGCATGGAACCACTCTTCGAGCCTAGCACGGCCACAAGGACCGTGCATCCCGTCCCCTCCAGTAACGACCAACTGTCTTCTAGAAGCAGTATGGACGAGGTAATGGGTAATAGACAGGTAGGCACCTTGTCAACATGCACATTAAGCGCATCCACACCGTGGATGTCAAACAACAGCCAATCACTTGAAATGACATTATCAAATAAAACATATCCATTAAAGAATACGGCCATGCAGACATAATTCTTCCCAAAATTAGTATATGAACTAAGTTGGTTAGCAACGAATCCGCGATAAGTACAAAATGTACACAAGTTATTCAATAAATGCTACCAACACGACAAAACTAACGAAGATAAGCACAATTAGCGTAAGCAAGGTGGCCAGTTAATAGACGATTAGTCAGGTAGGCAGAACAAACCAAATAAAGTGAAATGAACTTTATCCAGCTTAAAAAGACCTAGTTTAAGTGTAGGTTGGTTTAGCCAAACTGCGGTGGGGAAGCATCATGAATGCAACATCAGCCGCAGCATGGGGCACACATGATGTCTATACACGTTAAATAAAATAAATATACATTAATTTTCAAGGGAGGATGGGAGGCAGAACCCTCTATTCTAGAGTCAAGTTGAATTGGGGATTAAATGCACTCCCAATAGTATCCTTCTCATGTGCTTCGCTTGCATCGTGTTCTGCCCCCTCATTCAACGCTTCGCTTTTAGTTCAACCTTACTGTTACTTTAAATAATTGAACATGGCTCAAAAACTGAGAACGGTATGCTCCGATGTCACGACGCAAGTCACCGAGGCAATGGTGGTGGATAAAGATAAAACGAAAAATAAGGAAAAGGTGACAAAAAGTGGATGAGAAAACAGAGAAGCGTAATTAGAAAAGTCGGTCGAGAGAAGGATAAATACACGGAAGAGAACGACATTAAGTAGGGTGCCGGATTCACGATCGTGCCACACTAGAGTAGATCTCGAGGTCGAGGTAGCGAATCATAAGACCCACACTCGGGCCTATGCGATGTGGGTGGAACCCAATGCAGTGCGGTCTGCGTGCCGCAATGATTCGTCGACGTGCGCCGAAGAACGGATTGGTGGTACTCCAATAGTAACCAAGCCAAGAATACGAGGAGGTGGAATTCCGACACAGTCGCAACGTTCTGACAAAAAGTACGAAGAAGTCGATCGTACTCCCATCTTTAAACGTTGATAGGAAAGACGAGAGTTAACTGGCAATATGTTCAGGTAGACTGGGGAAGAATATTAACAACAACTGAAGCATATCTGTTGCCAAAACCGAACGCAAGCAGTCCCTGACTAAAAACCGAAGTAGTATTAGTCCGTGGCAGTTAACAACTTAGGAAAAAGTATAGTGATTGTCTCAAACGCAGCAAGGCTAAGCATGACAAGATTGAGTGGATCAGCGCAGTATTTGAAGGCTACAAACCCACGATAATCTCACTCCATAAGAACTCACAGAGCAAACTAAAGTCAAAAAAACACCTTGGAATGAACAGCTAATGTGCAACATTTGGCCACAAAAACCGCCAACAGTTTGCTTTAGTGCACTTTACTTATTTCAGTTCCACCGTGGATCTTTCTCAAAAGCTAAACCGTTAAGAAACATGTGTCAACGCCGTTTTAGTCGCCTCCTAAATCAAGGCTGGAGTTCATACTGGGTACTTAAACCGTAGGGTTTCGCGTGACATGGTTTCGGATACAGAATGCTGGATTTCACCTTTTACGCTATTTCCGAAATACCCGCGTAGAACAATAGTGGGAAACGGTTATTTGACCGCCCGGCCCAGAATCATTTAGTAGTATGGTTCATCATCTACGCGTCTATATTGATGCCCACTCAAATAAGGTGAGGAATTGACAATGTCGGAATTGCTGCGAGCAGCGGTGCTGGATGCGACGAAGACGAATAAAAGTGTTACTGTGAGGTTACATTTGGGATTCCCGTCAAAATGATGAAATTAGCCCGGAGACTCGTTTATTGCGTTAGCACACCGTGTACGTGCAGCGAACAGCTCATTCCAGTGGAAAGAGTTACTATGGAAAACAAAAACTCTACAACTCGAGTAGTGCCACCTTTGTAGACCAACGGGAAACTAGTGGAGTCACGCCGACAGCAAGCAGAGGTACGGTGCAGCCCTAGTGGAATGAGCGAGGCGTTGGACACCACACAAGCGACTAAGGGGTATAAATATTACCGTCCCACTGAGTGCGGTGCATTAAGTAAACAGATGGGATTAAATAATAAATGTTGGCTGAACATCCTGCGAGTTAACATTTAGGGGTGGCAAAGCTGTCCACGTACATCAAACGACAGATCGCCTTAATATCGAAGCAAATGTTGGTAGCTCAGGTTGTTCAGTTGGTGGTTTGAATGTTTGCTGAGCTTGCAGACCTTAAATAATGGTCCACTGAATGTGTGAAACAGACTCCAACAGCGATATCCAATAAGTTGCACTGCGCAACACTTGAGGACGCATCCGTAGCGCATACTACATCTGTCTAATGAGAGAGTGTTCGAAGCAGCAAGTCGTCTCTTCTGCTGCGGTGACTAAGATCCTTAGACCAAAGGGAGGACAGCAACCATTGAATTCAAGTAAGCAATTGTGATACTTCGCAACTCATACCTTACTGTAATGCCGAACGGCCATCGTGAAGTAGTTTGGGTTAGTACTGATTTCAAGGGAGTAGCGTGTAAGGGGGAGTGGAGTTACGACGCAGGATCCAGGCGAACGCCGACCAACATGTGCTTCAGAGTGACCTAGATACGGTGTATCAATGGTCGACCCAAAACTTATTGCATTTCAACGTCAGTAAATGCAAGGTGCTTACCAACCGACATCAAAGCAGCTATTCATACCGGCTCGGAACGAATAAACTACAACAATCAGCTGTCGAACGTGACTTGGGTGTCCTGGTTCAAGATGATTTGGGTTGCTCCACGCAATCCGAAAAGGCCTCGAAGACTGGGAACCAACACGTCGAGCTGTTGCGACGGGCACCTGGACAAATAAACAGCTCCATATTTCGACAAATGCTCAGTGCGTATGTTCGCCCCTATGTCGAATACGCAATTCAAGCCTAGCATCCATGCCTAAAACATGATCTTAATGCACTGGAGCAGCCACAACGCCGGGCATCTAAGAACGTAATTGGAATGCGCATTCTTTCCTACCAGGAGAGGCTGCAAGGATTGGGGGTGTTCGGTGGAATCTATCGCAGACTACGAGGTGACCTGATTATGGCATACTTGATCCTTCACGGCCCACATCATGTGTGCCGCCCTTTACTGCAACTCAGCAGCAATACAAACCTGAGAGGCCACTCATTAAAACTCGCAGAACAATACAGTCGTCTGGAGTGCCGCAGAAACTTCCTTTCCATTCGTGTCTGTCCTCTGTGGAATGCTCTCCCAGAATCGGTCGTTTCTGTACCGCCAATAACAGTATTTAAAAGATGCTTGGACGATGCACTCATCCACTTATACTCTGTCAGTTAACACTACGTCTCCATCCTACACCTGGAGTATACCATGGAATTATTTGTTGTTAACTGTGAGTGCTGTATATCTAAAAGGATCGCAGAACTACAGCGGAGCAAACGATAAGTCCTGATTTGCATATTCCAATTATTAACTATTTTACTATCCTTATCAGCATTACTGTTATGTTGATATCCCCACCAACTACCCAACGGGACTTGTAAAGCAACGCTTCTTAACCTGTATAAATTCACTGTTCATTGTACTGTCTATCGACCACCCTCACATGAGCGATTTTAGTATGATAACAAAAGAAGAAACGCTGCGAGGGCTTAATATTGCGAGGCTTACCGTCAGTTGCAAACGTCTGAAGAAAGTCTGAATAACGCCACCGAAAAATGATAGGTATTGTACTGTGAAGAAACGTAGCGGAGCATTCATGAAGAACCGCAAACGGAACGAAAGCTTTCGCTTCCGATCGCAGTTGCAACAGGGGATATGCTAGCTAGTGACCGTCATTCTCGCGCGATGAGACGGGAACAGGATGCATGCAAAATGAGTCGCGATTACGCGCAGAGGAGACAAAACCCGAATGCGGTAATGGACAATTTTTAGCCTCAGCAGAGAGACTAGCTTCCGGCTATAGCATTCAACAACGGTGAACAAAAGGGTGATTGTACTAGTGCGTCCCAGCAGCTCACAAGACAGATAGTGTAATCCCCAGTCCAGAAAAGCACAAAACGGTGGTTTCGCTCTATTGGACTTGGAGCTAGACAATCCGGTATGTGAGTTGCGAAGACGAACTACAGTCGAACCCGTTTAATTGCCCACCACCGGGATATTTCAAAAGTGGGCAGTAAAGCAAGGTGGGCAAGAAACTAGAAACGTCATTTTTCCAAACAGAAAACAGCCACTGAATAATGGCATAGTATATCACTTGAAGTGTAACGTGCTAAGAAGGAGAAAACACGTGATTGCAAGTAAAGCCTACAAAAGACGTCTATTCAGATGAACATGACCTGTAGTCTAAAATTTATGACGTAAAACGTTTTACCTGCATACTATACAAAATAGTGCCATTGTGTGCTTTTGCCGAGAAAATAATCCAAAGTCAGTTGTAGATTATTTTGAGCTGTTACTCCAGTCACTTTTGCACTGATGAAGTCCAATTTGGACTAGCCCACGCAAATGTCCGTAGCTTTACAAAGCATCCGCACAATTCTTTGTTATTAAATGCGACATGTGCTGATTGCTATTACTCACAGAGACATCTGGCACGTCATCCTCTGCCTTCTTTCTGTTCTAGTCGGTTCTCTAAAATCCTATTGACTATTTCATCTTCAACAGTTGTAAGATCTGAAGTACATTCCACATCTTTGTCAATGGCGACGAACTCCTCTGCGTTGATGAATGGGATTATGCAAGCAATGATCTCGTCCTCAGCGATGACCGCGTTATCAGAAAGTGCATCGGATGCCATTCGACTGAAGCCAGCATGCCGAAAGCAAGCTTCTATTGTTGCACCGGTAACCCGTCTCCAACTTTTTGAAGCGAACTGAATTGCATCGAGCACAGAAATGGTACTGACATCCACCGCCAACGACGAGCTAGACAACAGGTTGCTTTCGATGTGATAAAGAATTAGGTCAAAAATTTCCTTTCTAGAAGGGATTTTCGGATTCATAATCAAACCTTTGTCCATGGGTTGAAGAATGCTGGTCGTGTACGCCTTCAACAATCTCACTTAAATGCTTTTCAGGCCTTCTACCTGTGGATGGGCTGTGCAATTATCCAAAAGCAACATAACTTTTGGGCCACTTGGCCTAGCTCCCTGTCCCATTCGAAAAGTCACTCGGTGAAAAGTTCTTTCGTCATCCACGCATTTTTGGTAGTTCTGTAAGTTGCAGGAAGTGTGTCCACGTTCACGCCATTACAACATCGTGGTTTCTTACTTTTTCCAATATAAGCCAGTTTTCTTTAATCCGCACAGCGCGGGAGACTGATCCCATCCACGGCTCTTTTTGATCTGCTGAGCTTGTCGGCAAAAACACACAAAGATCCCACTGGAGTTGCTTAGTAAAAAAGATCTGTTTCGTCATCATTGTACACGTTGTCATCACCAAATGCCTTTAATAGTTTAGACAGTTGATCATTCAGCCAATTTTCACAGACTGCTCTGTCCGCAGTACTCTTTTCGCCATGCGCACATTTATACACAATTTGATTTCTATGCTTTCGTCTTTGCAACCATCCTTCTGTGGCAGCAATGGTTTTTCCGAATCTTTCACTGAACTCATTTACCGTTTTCTTCAGAAGCGGGCCTGTAACTGTCTGATTGTGCTCACGAACCGATATCATCCATTCTTTCAACGCAGTTTCCACTTCTTCCTCCTTTCCACATCGCTCGCTTTTCTGAGAGCTTGTAGTGTCATGCGATAAATTCCGCCGGAGTTCATTTTCGCTGGCAATCAACCTGGCTAGGGTACGACGAGAAAGGTGGAAATCACGCAACAACTTGGCCTGCGTGGTTCCTGGTGGATACATTCTAATTTTGTCCAAAACGTCCAACTTTGCTGTCAAGGACAAATTTTTAGTGCTACTGGCCATATCTGAGTGTAACCAATAGAGTGCTGACAAATGTGGAGCGGAAAGATTATCCGACTTTGCTCGGTTCTTGAGTTTTGAATAGGACCGAGGGCTTGCTCCCAGCCGTTTATATATTTAGCTTGCTGGTGTACTGAATGACGTAGGTAACCTTTTCTGATCTGTCAATAACGTCACTGACGACTTTGTTGTTCTTGACTCGATCAGACTCGCTAGCTTTGGCGTAATCGTAATAAAAGACGGAGCGAGGGCGCAAAATTGACAGAGCGATAAGAACACAGACCACGTAGCGGGGCGATTAAGCGGTTGGACGAGCCCGGCAATGGGCAATTAGACGGTGAAAATTTAGCATACTTATGAAGAAAGAATTTGTAGTTTGAAAAACTGGGCAATAAAGCGGAGTGAGATATAGACAGTCAAAAATCCTCCTACTTATTAGTTGTCAAGATAGAAGTTGTTGTGTAGATTCATCGCAGTTAGACACAGGCAGACAGCCACCACATCCAGGAAAGCGCTAGACGGCCGTTTCGTCTTATTGGGACTCGTCAGTAACGCGCAGCTGCCGAATCTTGCAGGATTCTAACACACGACCTTACTCTTGCGAGTCAGCGACTTATGTCAATGAGCCATGGGCAACGGCAGCGGACTGCCATGAGAGATATCTAACCGTGAAATAGCAGGATTCAGTGGGTGCGCGCTACTGACGAGTCCCAATAGGACGAAACGGCCGTCTAGCGCTTTCCTGTATGTGTGGTGACTGCCTGTGTCTAACTGCGACGAATCTACACAAAAACCTAATAAACCCTCCTACTACTTACAAAGAATAGAAATTGAATAGAGGGCAATAATTCTGGAGCAAAACCAAAAGGATACAAACCAAACCAAGCACGTAAACATCGCACTGTAGAAATCAAGCACGTGTGCAGTAATAATGTGCGATATGACCCCCACAATTCAGAGCAAGCGGATAGGAAAGCAGGAAATGCCAGAGAGCACCACAAGCTGGAAGCCTCACTTTCACTCCGAAAGCTGCTCGTTGAAGCTGGAACAGGAGTTAGTCATAGCCGCGTAATATCATTAATAAAACAAGATTTCAGAAGCTCTTGAAACCAAATCGGTTTTGGTAAGCTTTTGTTGCGGCAACGGTTCGCTCTCGACGTAAGAGTTTCTTCAGGCCAGACTCTTGTGTCAAGAGCGAAACTGCCACAATAGAAAACCTACAAAAAACCGATTTGTATTTAAGAGCCTCTGAAATCATGAGGTCCCAGTCGGTTCCAAGCGTTTCCGAGATTGAATAAAACAAGATATTTGCGTACACCCACATTGTGGCGATGCGCTGTCAAAACCGTTACGGTGCAGTAAGTGTGTAAAACCTTGATCAAGTGTTAAATCATATCCACCAAATTTGGCATCGAATTAAAAATTCCAGATAGCAGAACAGAAGCAGGATGGCGTTATGTTCCGTCTGGAAACACAAGATGGCATCAGAAAGATACTGGTGCGACGCACCGATGCTTTGCTGTCATGCGACCACTACGAGTGGCGGGCGGATTAGAGGTACTGCCAGGTCGGCAGCACCTATATTGACCAGTGGGTTACACAAGAAAGAGGCGCGATCCCTTCGACCATCGGACGAACGTCCAATGTAGTGCACCGCTACAAGATTGATCACTACAAAGAGTTAGTTGCGAAGTAGCCTCGATGTGGCCGGATAAAGATCCAAAAAAGATGACAGACTTACCAGATCTGCTCGACGGAAAGGAATTTCTGGCTTTCTCGAAGCATTCTTTGAAGGACTGCGCGTCTATGGAAATAAACACAAGGAAGTGACTTCAAAGATCCAGAAAAAGATATGGTGTCGCAAGCAATAGGAAACGCTCATCAACTGATGATTGATGAGGAATGAGGGGGAGAGATCAATGTGAACCCCACAGTGTGGACGTGGGATGAAGTGCCAATAGGAGTCGACAAGTCACATGCTATTCCATAATAAAAAGTAACTGAAAAGCGGAAAAAATGCATCGCCAAATGACTCGAAAGATGCGTTGGTAAAAGCGGAGAATAGATGCAATTAAAATATCAAGAAATTGACAGAAGTACTACATCATGTTAGCGACACAAAAACTAACACGAGGAACTGGTCAGATTAGTGACGTCATCTAATAAACCCATGCGACTCGGCGAACACAACCGGGCTCAATTGGTGGAACCGAAGTCAGATGAAACTGGGATTTCCGAAGGAGCAACGAGCTGAGTATTTTCTTCGAATAGGGAACAAAAGATAGAGGGCCACATGGATGTAACCAGTGAAATAGTTCATTGTCTAGACACGCTCAATGACGAACGGTCACATTGTTTGCAATCTCATCTCAATTGTATTCAAACCAATTGCGTGCATCATGCTCCGGCGGGCCTCCTGATCCTCAGAAGAGTCCTAGGTTCGGTCAGTTTACGCCAGCTGGGCAGAGAGGGCATGGACCATACCTTGTCAAATGCTTGCATGTCGTAAAACCTACAAACATCTTAACAGGGAAGCCTCCTAATTGTTTGACCGTACCTGTTTGTGCCGACGACCGCCTGTGAAGAACGCATTGGAGAAAATCCTCTCAAGCTAAAACTCTCCATACTGTGAGTCCCATAGCTGTGTAAAGGCATAAGAGCGCAGTAATGGCACCTGGACCTTTTACTCTAAGAGTGAACCGGTCACCAATGACCACATTCACTCTTCCACTTCCTCCTAAGCAGACGGTCTGCCAAACGACCGATTGTCAAAGCCAGCGTAGGAGATGACACTCCTTCTTGGGTATTATCAAACGACTGGACGGTTACCCAGCTACTTCTACCTGTAACCAAACCCGGTGTACTACAGGGTTCGGTACTTGAGCCTTGCCTGTTCTCAGTTTTTATTAACGATCTAGCGAGTTATCACCGCAAAATCGTTATTCTTCGCGGATGATGTCAACGAGCGGTCAAGGGATTGGACGACAACGAGAACCACAAACGTGACCTCGACGAGGCGTGGATTTGGTCGGTTAGAACGTTGTGCCACTAAATGTGGGCAAGTGCTGCGTTGCCCACATCCGCCATCGACAAGCCGACATCTACAAAATCGAGACGCACGATCTGCAGACAAGCTCACAGAAAGGTGACCTCTATGTGCTTGTACAAGACGACCTCGGTAGTTCCAGACAAGCAGAGTCCGGTTCAAAAATAGGTAAGCAGTATGTTGGTCTCTTGCGGGAGGACACTCATCCATCTTTTCTCTGGTGTTCAATGCCTACGTGCGTTCCCACGTCGAATACACAATCCAGGCTTGGCATCCTCGGCTAAAGCGTGAGCTTGCAGCGCTCGAAACTCCCCAACGCCAAGCAACGAAAGTTTTCAAGTGTTTGCGCTACCTTCTGTACCAGCAACAACTGAAGAAATTCGAAGTGTTCAGTAGACGCTACCTGCAGCTACGTGGAGACCTCATATTAGATTACCAGATATTGTGCGACCCCAGTTACGTATGTCGCCACCATATGAAACTCAGCGCGGACAGCAACCTCAGAAGCAATAGCGTGAAAATGAGTCAACAATACAGTCGCCTAGATTGTCAAGGAACGTATTTCTCCCTTTGGGTCTACCAAATCTAGAACGCGCTTGCAAACTCCGTTGCCTGTGCCCCCACCTTAGCTATTTTCGAAAAACCATTGGATATCGAATTGACCGCTCTACACTTTGTGACTTGAACGGATATTCTGGATTTATACTGGCTAACTAGTCAGTTTAGAATTATGACCAACAGTGACGCACGCAAATCCGTGCAGAGGTGGGCGCAACTCGTTTGTTATTTGCAATTAGCATTAACCATAACAAGTCGCTATTTCGTTTTGTCTAGTACTACTTCACTCTTACAACCCTCTTTTTATATGCCACTACTCCATCGCCTCAATGATGTGTATTTTATTTGATCAACTTCTATTAGCAATCTAGAGGACAGGTTAGGCCTGTGGTTTTTTACCCGCCATAAACCAGTGTTGCATTGCATTTAGCTGGTGGTCACAACACCGACGAGGTTGCTACGTGCAAAGACAAAGATCATGGGGGCCCCCCAACACAGCTCCAGTCACTTATGTCATTAGTTGGGATATGAATTAAGAATGGGAGGAATGGCGGTCAGCAGTACTGCCTGAATCGGATATCAGGTTCTGAAACGGTGAGGAGATTGATGTTGTCTGATCATTGATAACCGTGATAACTAGGTTTTGGCTTGGTGAACCAATTCGTGTGTGACGCGGCAACCCAGAGGCGATACAAACAATTTTGATGTGACTCTGTTTGCACACACGCACACACATAGTGAGACTCAAACAACAAGTCACTGATTTGTATGCACCGACAGATGCAACACTATGACCTCTGGTATACTTAACACGCAGGATAGTCTAAGTGAGCCACAGGACTACATGTAAACTTTTCTGTATATAATACATGGATCTCATCCGCATGCCTCCCGGTTTTATTCCTTCGGGTTTACACTGGATATGGGGTGCGTGGTTTGGAGCTGTGGGTGGTGCAGCTCAAGCCACCCATGGTCCCTCTTTTTTTATGGTCCCTCTGTAGGCGCAGGCGTCCTGTGTCTGGCTACAGTGACAGGCAAATCCGAAACCGGATGCCGCCAACCATGTATGTATATGTGCCCCATGCTGAGACTGATGTTGCATTCATGATGCTTCTTCACCGCAGCTGGGCTAAGCCAACTTACACGTAAACTAGGTCTTTTTAAGCTGGATAAATTTCATTTCACTTTATTTGACTTGTTCTGCGTACTTGGTAATCTTCTCCTAACTTGCATACGTCGCTCATCCTAATTGTGGTAACCTTACGTAAATAGCCCCTGGTAATTTTTAAATAACCATCCGAGATTTTGTACTTATCGCGGATTCGTTTATAACCAATTTACTCCATATGCTAATTTAGCGAGTATTTATGTCGTCATATACGCTTACCTTATTCGATATCTTTTATTTGGTATCGGCATTTCAAATGATTGGCCGTTGTTTGACTTCTCCGGTGTGGATGCGCTTGATATGCATGTTGACAAAGTGCCTACCTGTCTGTTACCCACTACATCGTTCATATGGGCTCAAAAGACAATTGGTCGTTGCTGGAGGGGACGGGACGCACGGTCCTTGTGGCCGTGCTAGGCTCAAAGAGCGGTTCCATGCACTCAGTGTGGAGCGGACTACGGTCCAGCCACCGCTTTGTGTGCGCTTGGTTCCCCAAATACAGTGTGCTTGGGTTTGCCTGTGAACGAGTGTGGGCCGGCTCCGTTGATAAGACGTGGCTCCCATCCACATGTCTCCCGGTCTTATTCCTTCGGGTTTACACTGGATATGGTGTGTGTGGTTGGAGCTGTGGGTGGTGCAGCGCTTGCTATCCCTGGTCACTCTGTAGGCGCAGGTGTCCTGTGGCTGGCCACAGTGACAGGCAAATCCGAAACCGGATGCTGCCAAAAATTTAATACATGAATAAAACTTGCCAAAATAATTCAAATATGATCATAATACATAGGAACACATAACAAAAGTACAAAAATCCTGTGTGACTTCATATACACTCTTCTTTGACTATGTGCAAACGTCAGGAGTGAGTCCGTGAACTGGTTCATTCTTAAGCTAATGCAAGGGTGACCTATAATATGTAGCATTAGTGACATTCCATACTCTTCATGGCGAATGCTGGATACACAACCCTGTGATGAAAACTTCTCATTCTCATTGCTGCGCATGTATATCATTGTTATGCTTCGTAACAGGACCGTCGTTATTTAACACTAAGTATATACTTGTTTCTGTCTAGTGTGGGTGTCAACTCTTCTAATCTAATCGCACACGTAAAACACAAGTAACCATCACAATCGGTGAGAGCAGAGAGCCATACTGGAATCAGACAGTTGGAATGTAACCGCAAATCAGTTGGTGCCCCAGTGCATCGCCGGCATATTCCGGCTGGAAGCGAACACAATGAAACTCGCAAAGAGCTCCGGGCAAAACTCCGTGCTAGCCTGAAGAGAGACCGCGAATCCTGGTGGTCTCATCGTGCATCAGAGATAGAAATGTCCGCTGCCCTTGGTAACCATCGTGAGTTATTCCGTCTGATACGGGAAACGGGCAGCAGGAGACCTGATATTAGTGGGAATATAGGTGACGAGAGTGGACAGCCTATCCACAATTTGTCAAAACGCTTAGAGCGTTGGGCTGAGCACCTTGGAAATCAATTTAATCAGTCGGAATTGTTAGATTTCTCGCCGGCCACTGATCGCCCCGCTCCCTGGGCTGTCCCTTTAGATCCACCCTCTTTCTCAGAAGTCGAACGTGAGATCGAACTGTTGAAGTTGAACACAGCTGCGGGACCAGATGATCTTTCTCCAGTCCCCTTCAAATTCAGGGGACCTGCTCTTGTGGATGATTTACACGAGTAACTAGTCAAACGGTGGGAGCAGGAAACTGTCCCAACCGATTGGATCCACTACGTCATAGTGTCAATTTTCAAGGGAGGCTCACGATCGGAATGCGGCAGCCATAGAGGAATAACTCTGGTCTCCATCGTCTCCAAATTGCTTGCCTCTGTCATCCTTCACAGACTGAATGGCACTCGTGAAAGCCAGATTCGTGAAGAGCGAGCTGGATTTCGTCGAGGTCGTAGCTGCATTGACCACATCTTCACCTTGCGTCAGTTGTTGTAGCACCGTCACACATATTGGCGGCCAACCATTGTCGTGTTCCTCGATATCAAAGGTGCATTCGATTCCGTGGATAG